TGAAACAGATACCTACAGGAGTTCATAAAGAGAAGAAATGATCACAAGTTAACATATGATTTCATAAAATGCCGGTAGCGAGATGGCATTGTATTGCATTCCTAAAGAGCCTCGGTTACAGTCGATACTTTAAAACATTAATGTAAATTTCTAATTAAATTTCAAAACTGACAAACACCATGAAAAAATTAGTGACCAAAGTGACTACATAAAACATTGATAGCAACAATGACTACAAACTAAAAGGTCTTCCTCTGAAGCTGTACATTCAAAGTTCAAATAAACTGAAATGCATCATGAGTGACTAACGCCCAAAGTGTAATGAATAAAAGGGAAAAACTTTTGGCGATTATAGAAAACAACGACCCAGATTATTAATACATGTAGTAGATATCAGCGAAACATGGACCCACAGTGACATAACTGATGCTGAAATTGCATTATGTGGCTACAAACTGTTTCGTGAAGACAGTCAGGACACAAAAAAGAGCGGAGGTGGTGTAGTCATGTAATGTATGTCAAGAACAGTATTGACTTGGTGGCTGTAAAGATTCCCAATTACAATTACACCAACAGTGTTTGGACTGAAATTATTGGAGACCACAGGAAGATATTGATAGGACTGGTATCTTTATAACTACAAAAAAAGCTGAAAGAAAACGAAAAAAAAACTGATCAAAGTGGCCAAGAGGGGCTTTGAAGACAAGCAAGCAAGGAACATTAAGAATGACCCAAAGTCTTTTTTTGCATACATACGAAATAGAAGGGTGACCAAAAGTACCATAGGCCCACTAAAAGATCAAAAGAGAAATATAGTGTGGTCTGACGTTGAGACAGCAGAGCTGCTAAGTATTTTACATCAGTGTTTACAAATAAAACTTTAGACAGCATCCCTGAACCAGAGGTGATGTAATCTGCCAAACAGGACGAGTAATTGAGCGACATTGACATACATTTTGTAACACAGGAAATGGTTTTGATGGAACTAGACAGTCTTAAACTGGGCAAAGAAACTGGAACAATTATAGCCCTGTTATGTTTTTAATATACATAAACGACCTGGATACAGCTATAAACTCAGAGAGTCTCAACTTCGCAGATGATACCAAACTATGGCAAGAAACTAACACCGAAAATAGAAACGGTTTACAACATGACATAGACACAGTTTGCAATTGGGAGGTTGATTGGCAAATGTAATTCAATGTGGGAAAATGTGGAATTCTTCACTTGGGTGACATACTACATGCATGGAGTTCCCATTGGTAAAACAAACCTAGAGAAGGATCTCGGAGCTTACATTGATCATTCCTTGAAACCAACCCAGCAGGTGATGAGGGCGGTTAATTAAAAAAGCCAACCAAATCCTGGGCATTATCAAAAGAAACATATGCCATAAGAAAGTGAACATTACAACCCAACTATACAAACAACTTGTCAGACCACATCTTGAGTAAGGTATTCAAGTTTGGTCACCATGGTTATAGAATAGAAGGACATAGACCTCATTGAAGAGGGTCAGTAAAATGATCCCTGAACTACAAGACTTATCCTATACAGAGGGGATACGCTGGAAGTTTTTGAAGGGTTTGAAGTCATCGAAAAAGACTCACTTTTCCAACCTTTGGTCACCCCATACAAGGCAACACAAGAGGACACCGCCTGACATTAAAAATACCCCCAGCGAAACTGGAAATCAGAAAAAGATCGTTTGCAGTAAGAACAGTTCCTGCATGGAATCAGCTACCAGATGAAGTAGCTCATCATCAAAGCAGTGTCAATGGCTTCAAGAGTAGCATCAAGAAGGTATTCAACAGAGGAGTTTCCAGAGGCTACCCGCCATCAAGCTCCTGACTGCAGAGATACTAGTATACAGGAACATCTCTGCAGTTCAGGTAAATTCAAGTAAGGCCACACCAATTTAATTTGTTGGTTCTCGGATTTTTTCAGGAAAAATATGAAGCGACAGGGCGAAAAAAAATAAAAATAAAAACAGATCTAGGCATCCTATTATAGCCCCAAATGCTACGATAGGAGGTATGAAGTCAACACAAAAGGCTGGTTCAAAATTTAAACAATGAATTTTGAACTGCTAATGATACCACTGCATTGAAAGATGGAATAACTGTAATGACTAGGAAGAAAAGGACTGTTTTCAACTGTTCAGGGCAAAATATGAGCATTTTGCAGTTGATTCTGAATTTTTTTTTTTTTGCAAATCAGGAAAAAATGAAGAGGCGAATCCGAGAACCAACAAATTAAATTTGTGTGGCCTAAATAAACTAGGCGCAAAATAAAATGTTTGGGCACTTGCACCCAGCCTATGCCGTAAATGTTTGGCTTTGGTCATTATAAATGGAGTTTCATTTAATCACGCACACGTGCACATTTTGAACCACGAGGAGAAAAATTAAGGACAGTTTTTGTGAGCGCATTCTTTTTTTTTCCTTACAAATTTGATCTCGCAACGTAGTATACTTAACGAATGAGACCTACACATACTAGTCACATATATTTAGCACACAACAGTGACAGCACACATGGAAAATGTTAAAGAAAACGCGGCAAAATGACTCTTTCAAAGACTATCCAAGGAGGTTAAATTTAACCTTCTTGGACTATCTAAAGGATTGGTCGCTCGGAACGTACAGAATTACACCATTTCTTGCGGAATATAACTTGTTGAATATGAAATGGTCTTCAACATAATGTCTGCACAATAGTTTGCTCTTTACCTGTACGAAAAAGCGACGTCGTCATCAACCCGCGCAAGTCTTCGCCATGTCGCTGTCTTGCCGAAAGTTCACCATGTCGGGGAATCCGCGTTTCCTATTCGAACACCACGAGAACGGCAATTAATCTACTTCGGAAAGTTCCCGTTGTTCCGTCGCACAGTTTAGAAAGACATTCTGTCGACAAAAACTCGAAAAAATACCCGAAAGGTTGCACAAAAATAACAACCCAGAACATTTTCCAGGGCACCAAACAGCCATTTTGAATGAGACACGCAAAACGTGCTTATTTCACACAGGTGTCTGTTTGAGCTAAGTTTGATCACATTATCGCAACAGCCAATCAGCAAGAAGAAACTGCTGATGAGTAAGTAAGTCATATGTGCCAAATATGTTCATGCATACCATATATGGTAGAAACCCAATAAAACCAATTTAAAAGCCTGTATAAAAAATGAAGAAAAAAAAACGCCTGAAGGTATATGACAACTTGATTTGAACAATCGACAATGACTTTCCTGCCTTGTTTACGCGAGGTTTGGGAGGGAACATCAGAGGGACTTTCCACACGTGCACATTCCAACAGGTGGTTTGAACCACGCCGAGAAACACAAAAACAGTTTCTGTTATCGTATTTCTTTCTACAAATATGAAGTCACAACGTTGTATGATTGACAAATGAGACCTACACATCCATTTAACGTACACCATGCACGGAAGAAACGCGGCAAAATCGACTCTTTCAAAGCCGGTCTCAATCCAGGAATGGTCGCTCAAACGCTACAGAAATACACAATTTTTACGAAACATACAAGTGGTTGAATTTGACATGTTCATACTCGGTGCTAGAAAAGAACGTCAGCCGAAGAGTGTGTTACTTACCTGTACGAAAAAGCGAAGTCATCTCCAAACCGCGCACTTCTTCCTGGCTATCTCGCCATTTTTTTGTCTTCCCAAAAATTCTCCAGGTCAGGAAATCCGCATTTTCTCCTCCCAACACCACGGGAATGGCAATAAACGTACTACAAAAACTTCCCATATATCTACCATGGAGTTTAGAAAGACATTCTGTCAACAAAAACTTGAAAAAGTACCCGGAAAGTTGTACAAAAATAACATCCCTGTGCTTTCCCGTCGTAGCAAAATGCCATTTTGAACGTACCACGTGTTTTTTTCCTTACACAGGTGTTCTAAACGGCCATCTCTAATTATTAGTTATATGAAGCTGCTAATCTGATTAAGAAGACAACTTCCACCATTACTGACATTTACTAGACATTTCACAACAAATTTTCTCTTTTGCATTGTAATGCTGATTTTCTTTCTGCCAACTAAGTACACACGGCTTAGCCGCTACCGTGCTCTTTCTATCTGCATGCTCCTTTAGGTCATTGTCAACGCCCAACGTCCAAATAAACGGGTTGCACCTGGCCCTGACACGGTGGTCCTAAAGCGCCGCCCAGTGAAGCGTGATTACACTGCAGCCACCGGCTTCAATCCGGCGTACGTACACGATCTAGCTGCATTTGTCCATGGCCATTACCGCGCGTGCTAAAGGTACCTCAGCTCGTGAGGAGAAACGTGTCTAGCTGCGAAGCAAAGCCTTAGTTCATGAGATGTTTATAAAAGCTCTAAATGAAGAAAAGAATATGCTCCCACGGCCAATGAGCACTGATCAGTTACGGTGGATGATATCCAGTGGTTGCAGTACCGTCACCCTCCCCTGGGCGGCGCTAAATTGACACCGTGTCACGGTCAGGTGCAGTTCAATCATGACATTCGGAGAGAGGCCAGTGGCTGCAGTATCTCCACCCGTCACTGGGCGGCGCTAAATTACGACCGTATTATGGTCAGGTACAGCACGTTTGTGACGATGGATTCAGAGGAGAGAAAGATAAATACTAAACACTCTCCGGGTGAACCCAAGGAGCTTTTAAAAATCACATTTTTAAGCTCCTTGGAGGACAACTGTTTGTATTACACTATACCAGCAGACATACTCACAACTACACTGCCTCAAATTTGTCCTTTTATCAAGAGACTTTGCAATAAATGAAATGGCAATTGTTATATTTTGTTCTTCTGTAAAACTTTGTAGGTGGACGGATATATAGACTCTGTACTGTATATGTTTATGAATTTTATTGCTATGAAGGTGTTGTTCCGGTACTATTTTCCAGTAGCCCAAGAATAATCAAAGGCGTGATCAAGAGGTCTAAAGTTACACTAGTTTTGCAACATGAAACTCAAGAAATTGACGACGAACAAAGAATTCACCTGAATATTTTAATCCCTTCTGATTACTAGTAATGTATGTATCAACTGCAGCACCACATCACATGCACAAATGCGCCATGTGATATTCCATTTACTAACTTACAGCTTTCTTCCTCTTTCCACTGAAAAAAAAAGGAAATTTGCACGACGGAAAGCAGCAGCTTATAACAACAAAGTCTAGCTAGCATTGCTACTGGGTGTGCGGGATATTATGGGTTGGCATGTTCGCTACTTACTACAGTATGTTTCAAAGGGTACTTTATATAAAATACTACCTGAACCAACATTGTGAGTTTATGTGGAGGAGAGTCTTGGGTGTGATATGACAAACTAATATAATGTCACAACATACTGTTTGTTACACTACTGTTCAGGAACAGTTAGTATGCAGTAAATTGGACAGAATACTACATATAGTATACATCGATAAAGGCAGGTAGAGAAAATAGTGCCAAAATGAGCAAACTGTGGTGATTTTTGACTAAACCAAGCTACATTTTGTACCTTGTTAGCATGTGCACTGGTACAAATGAACGTACATGTAGTATACAATGCCCTTCCTCTAGCCAATCAGCAAGACTAAATCACTACTACATTGACAAAAGGTATATGTACTATACATTGTTACAAGCCTGTTGATAAAATGAAACAACTGGAGTAAAAGAAAGCGCATACAAAAATCTGGCTTCAAATTTCACAAGTAAAATGTGCACGTACAATATCGTGGTCAAAACGTTTACAAATCCCGTCTAGTAATAGCACATGTACATTAAAGATTATATACACATCTGAAGTCCCAGGACACCGTAGAACTATAATACAACAGAAACAACATTTGTTTAGTCACATTTTCACTGTCAAAAGACACACAAACAACAACACATCGCACACAACACGTGTATGTGTGTGGACTTTCAACATTTTCAACTTGCACCATATTAGAACGATAGTATAGATACATTACAGTGTGAATGTTTTTTCTACTAGCTTCAGTTAGAAGCACTCTCTACAATGCTACATCCTAAAAACATTTGGTTTCTCACAATTTTATCAACCTTTTAACATGTACCAGCAGCCTGCAGAGTAAAATACAGTAACTATCCTGCAGTTTGACATACATGAAAGTTTTTTTGTGTGTTTGCTGGAGGCAAGCATGGGCCTTCAAATCTGTTGCAGCGATTTCAAGTCTTCCATATGACTGGACCAACCTCCACACCAATAGGTGTAGCATTTTGTGACAACAAGCTCTTGTATGGTAGGGTATGTGGCGGAAATTTCACATGTAGCTCGTGGCTTTCAGTTTCATCGAATCAACAACATTATAATGTCCTTGTTCAAATCACATGTGTTGAAAAGTAAGGGCCAGTATTTGTAACTTCTCATTTCTTAGAATATTTACATGGACATGTATATGACAACATACAGCAATGGGGGTTTTAAAACACCTCTTCTTGGAACGTTACTGTATACTGTGGTCTGATACAAAGTCAAAACTACATTTGCCTGTTCTGTAGGTTTTGTTAGATTTTGTGCACTGAAGGTATAGATATTTTTTCTTGGACCCTATATTTTCTTTCTCAGAAATTTCCAGGTGCTGTACGTTGTACATGAAGCTGTAGCCAAACATTGGAATGGGAGAATTTATTAGAAATGTTACATGTAACCTGTGTAACCCAAAATTTGCTTAACTTTTTTTATCACTTCAAAACGTACTTGGTATGGTGTTACTTGAACTGTAACTTAATGTAAGTGTATTATTGCTCCTCGGGAAGACTGGCTTTAGCCAAAAGGAAAATCTAAAGAAAAAAAATCAGCTCGGAAGTTTCCATGTACAACTGCTGCATAATTCTGGTAACATTGATGAAGTACTAAGTAAGACCTGGTACAACCCAGTACTGAGGAGTGCACAGGGAGCCCACTATGCGTTCACGTTACGTAGTCGCACGTCACTTTCATCCTTCTCCACGCTTTTCTCGTTGGTAGCACTGTTGGACTTCTTCTTACTGCTGGAAGGAGAAGAAAACGTGTAAGTCTTCCAAGTTGTCGACATTCAATTCCAAAGTTAGCCTTTTTAACAACATTTAATATATGGAGAATTTACAATAAAAACATACAATATCACTTGAAAGAAGGAGTATCACCATCATATTGTTTCATTGTGTGGAAGGTCCAGGTCTTGAGCTCTAGTCACATTTGTAACTACGCTTCTCTCTTTCTAGAATACTACACTTGGTACTTTCCTCTAGAGCAAACTGAATGTCTTTTACACATAATTGTTTCATATTCATGTCCAGCACAATGTTGTGTGCAGATGAAAGAAACAAACATTAAATGTACTTACACAGGAGCATCATCATCATCTTCTGTTAAGAAGAAAGAGACAAGAAGAGTAATTATTAACTTCGTCAGTGTGTGCATCCCACAATACAACTTACAATTAATGTGCCTATGGCATGCATGACAACATTTAGTGTACCAAACTCATGAGTACCATGCATAGCACACAGCACTTCAATATACAGTACAATTTACCTTGGAAATCTGTACCACACATTATCTACGGGGTTACTGCTGCATACATGTATACATGTATGTACCTTGTAACATACATATCTATATCAGAGACATGCAGTTCATAAGCACATATAACAGCTGAAACAAGAAGCTGATGAAAAAAAATGCATGCATAGAGGAAAAACATGAACAGTGGATCTTTTCTGTTATTGGTTTGTAATTCAAGAAATTCAAACACTGCATTGATAGATGGAAAAACTTTTAACAACTCTGAAGAGAAGGGACTTCCTTCAACTGTTGGGGCCAAAGTGTGAGCATTTTGGAATTGATTCAGAGCCTGGAATGTTTTTTTTTTTTGCAAATCAGAAATCCAACAACCAACAAGTTGGTGTGGCCTAATAGGAGGTTATGCATGTGTAAACAGATGTAGCAGGCAGAAGAAAGTATACATGCTGAAAGAAGACAGAAGTCACCTCGACCAAGGAAAACGAGACGTGGGACCGGCGCTTTCCCTACTGTCCGGTTTATCTCTACTACTGTGGGAGGTAAGGGCACCCAGGGGGACTGACCAGGTAGAAAATAACAGCAGAACAGAAGAGTCAGGTGTGAAATGATCCCAAAGTTGACCCCAAAGTAGAGAGTTGAGTACAGATACAGTCTTTTTAAAGGGGCAATATGTAACATTTCTGCACCAAAAATTGAAACATTTTATTCAAGAAAATATTTGTGTGATTGTACTTAACTTCCACCTTTCAACATATTTTTACATTTATGGTTGGCGCTAGATGTATATCAGCCCACACGAGGCACACTCAGTTTGTGGTGCCACCACAAAGTACCAGAATGTAAATAAACATGGCTGACAGCTGTGTTTTAAATTTCTAAACACACTCGTAAGACGTCATATTTTAACATCTAAACGTTCTGAATTGCATTAACAGTCTTCCTTACTTTGCAAAATGGAGTAGGGTTGATTATCTTTTACCTTGTGAAGAAATTACCAGAACATTTACTTTTCTTATCACCCTAATGTTACATAATGCAGCTGTAACATCCCAAAGACACAATGTTTTTTTGTATGTTTAACATGAGTGATAGATGACACATTGTGCCATATCTCATTGCACGCCCTCTCAACTTTGGGGTTCACTTGGAGAAGCAAATCAAAAAAAGGAACAGGCAACGACAAAAAAACTGTAACACAATAAAGGAAGAAGAGAAAAAGTACATGATGTGTGACAAAAGAATACAGAAGGCATCACCTTAAAAGAACACAAAAGCCAAGAAAGTAATTGTACATGAAGAAAGGACAAGAATCTCTGATCTATGTAAGGCTATGGTGATTTGTCTGATAATATGGATGACATCCAAGTAAATTTTTGACCGTTTAAAAAAGATTGCCTGTTTCTGACCATACTGTAAGTAGTACAAAGCAGCTGCAAAAGGAGCAAATATATGCTGTTACTAGTGTTAGTCGCAAAAAAAATATTGAGAAACGATACTTAAGAAACAATATTTAACTTGTAGAATGGCAAATCAATTCCAAAGGGAAACAAGAAATTGTGAAGAAATGAAAACCATTCACCATACCATACTCTGTGTGTTTAGTCATTTGTTCAACCTTCATGACCACGTAGATTTCATAATGAAGGCAACTTTTCTTTTTGCCCAAACTTTTTAATTCGCACGCGCGCATCAGTTTTGGGGCTCCAAGAGGATGTCATCCATATAATCAAATCAACGTGGCCTAAGTCCGATAAAACAAATAATCCTCTCACCGTCCTCGGCTGAGTCATCTGAGTCGGACTTCCTCTTCTCGAAGTAGAAGATGATGATGACCAGGATAACCACTTCGGCCAGGATGCCCAGGAACGGCCACAGAGCTGCCAGCCGATCTGAGGACCAGGCAAAGGGTGGACTTTTTAAAAATCAGTTACAGCATCTCACCTCACATGTTTTGGCTTATATAAACTAGGTGTTTGCCTTACACTTGAGAAGTCTCTATCTAGTTCGCTTGTATATTTTGATGTCGACCTTTTTCACTTTCTAAGCAGTCTGAACTGATTCTTAATTTGGTTACGTTAACTATAAAGGCTTTATTACAGATTGATGAAAGGTAAGTTTCCAATGTGAAGTTAGTGTTTACTTGAAAATAAGTTTTTAGCTTACTACAACTCCTTATTTCTCGTCGCCAACGAGAGGGGAATGTGTCCTTCAAGCGTTTGTCGAATATGTTACCAAAGTGTTTCATTATATCAACAGCAGGGTTCAACCAAATATGAGCTATGGACTACGTACCCTTTACCCTGAGCAGAACAGGTAGGTTATCCGAGCCCAGGCTGTTCTCAGCGCTGCAGGTGTAGGTTGCCCTGTCTCCCATCTCCAAGTTGGTGATTCTGAGGTTTGCTGCACCGTCGTCGTCCATGAAATAACTCATTCTGCAGGCGTCAGTTACAAGAAGGTACGTTGTCAAATAATGAAGGCAATGAAGATTTAACATTTCTAGGCCACAACAATTTAATTTGTTGTTTCTTGGATTCACCCTGTCCATTTTTTTCTGATTTGCAAAAAAAAAAAGAAGAAAATTTTAGGTTCTAAATCAACTGCAAAATGCTCAATGAAATACATGTTTTGGCCCCAACAGTTGAAGAAACTCCTTTTCTTGTAGTTGTTAAAAGTTTTTCAATGTAATGCAACTTTGTTTCATTAAAAGTTCGAAATCTATTGTTTTAATTATAAACTAGCCTGGTATGTTGACTTCATGGCTCATATCGTAACATTTCCAGCTATCAAGGGGTGCCTTGGCCTGTTTTTTTTTTTCCGCCCTGTCGCTTCATTTTTTTTTCTGAAAAAATCTGAGAAACATCAAATTAAATTGCACACAGCACATCATCATCATCATGCTGCAACCACCTGGGCCCAAATAACTTTAGTAGATCTAAAACATCAAGCTTCAGTTACAAATGCACGTTTTAGGAGTAGTATTGTCTTCAAACTTTTTGCTTTGCTAAGGCCATGTTGATTTTATTATATGGATGACATCCACGTACACATGAATTTTCGTCCGTTTCCAAAAAAATTTTCCACCACACTGTAAATCGTACAAGCAGCTGCAAAATGAGCAAATGTATGCCATAAATTGAAAAAAAAAAGATATTGGAAAACGATACTTATGTTGTAGAATGTCAAAATCATTTGAAAGAGAGAAAATGTGAAGTAACGAATATGAAGACTGTATTATTATTCGTGTGTTTAGTCTTTTTGTTCAACCTTCATGACCAAGTAGATTTTTTCAGACCTTTTTTTTTTGCCAAACTTCTTTTTTTTTATTCACGTGCTCACTTCAGTTTTGGGGTTCCCGAAGGATGTCATCCATATAATCAAATCAGTGAGTGAACAACCAGGATTCAGAATCTGGACCAAAAACACACTCCACTATGTCTAAGTGGCATGTCTCTCACAAGACCTCACCTGGAGCTCATGTTGACCAGTTCTTCGTTCTCCTTGAGCCACTTGACCGTGGGTGTGGGGTAGCCTTCAGCGGTGCACTTCAGGGTCACCGTCTCACCTTCCTGGTACTTCACAGACTTTCTGAAGTGGGAGGTGATCCTTGGAAGAGCTATGGACACAGGAAGAGTTATATTACCATAAATGTTAGCAGACCTTAGGCCTAGGGAAAAAATGCTGTATTTCCCGTTTTCCGATCAACCCTAGAAAAAAACTGCTGACCCTAGCCTTTTCTGGGCTGACCCCTACAAGGGACATAAAAATTTCGAGCTGATCGATCTTTTCTCGTTCTATGATCTGACACCTGAGTGATTAACGGTGCACACCCCAGTTCTTGCAGGACCGGGGTCCGTGATAGTCCGTTGTAAAAAAGTGACAAAAGGGTTTTGAGGGTCCAAGTTTGAGGTGACATTTCTCATAAACTGCCACGAAGTATCATTAAACATTAACATGGCTGAAGAGTGTAAGAAATGGTGATTTTGGGGTGAAAATTTCTTTTGGCTCCAAACCTTACTCCCGGGTATCCTTGCGCGCCAAATGTAGTCCGCCCGTTTGACCTAGATTTTGCTCTGCGCCTTCGTAGGGGTGGATTTTTTTCTATTGGATTATCCTACGCGAAAATTCGCAATTTTGGGCATTAATTTTGGAGTGAAAATAATGTTTTTTCCGTTGATTTTACCAAACGTAAAAAGGTTCAAGAAACCAAACTCAACTGGTCTTGGAGCTGAAGAGATATCCTTTCGTCCCATATACAGTTATTCTCCTTCCGATTATTCCACGCCAGAGACGGTCGCTAGATTTGAGGGTGTGCAGCTTTGAACAGAGGCGCCAAATAAACTGGGGTGTGCCCCCTAAAACGGTTTTCCCACATCGACATTGAAAGTGACATTTCAATATTGACATTGAAAGTAGTCTCATGTATTTTTTTCCAGGGCCTTATGTACAGTATGCAGGGTTCTTACCAGAATTTTTTCACAGCATAGGGGCCAGCATTGGTCTCCAAAGATATGACCACAGTAGGGGGTCTGGTATTCTCCCCTAAAAATGCTTTAACTCATAACCCCGACAGACACTATGTTATACATGTAGCTACATTCTAAAATCAAATTGTCATTTTTAAAAAGATTTATGAAGGGTCACAAGATTCTCCCCCATATATAGGAGACACCCTTACGCTGGTTGAAAGATAGTGTAGGTATGGTAGGGCTTCTGTGCAGTCAAGTAATAGACAACTGGAAGTGTGCACTGGCTCAGAAAACTATGAGCAATGACTATGTTCTTGCACACACACATGGTATCATTTACCAACTGAGTAAGTAGGGGCTTCATGCAATCACTGGACAAGGCTCTAACACCAATAAGTTACGATGGACATAGACATTTCTCAAGTCAAAAACTGTGCTTTCATGATTGTCTATGATGATTGTCTATAATGAGCATTTTCAGAGATTTAGTACCTTTGTCAAGAAGGTTATGTTTTCCGTATGTATGTACATGTACATGTATGTATGTGTGTATGAGGTTTAGCACAATAACTCAAGAAGCTTTAGATGGATTGTGATGAGACTTGGTAAGTGGTTAGGTCTTTTAAGTGATTTTGGGCCCCCTAGTGGCTTTCCTTGGTACTGCAGCTGAACTTCCGGGTTTGATATCTCTTTAATCTGGACATGCTAGGGTCGCGAATTTTGGATGGTAGGTAGCTCTTGTGCTTGGAAAGAAGTGACATTAGTTTGGGCCCCCTTGCAGCTTGTTCTGGAACTGCAAGACAGTTTGTTTTAAAAAGATATTGTCACTAGCTTACCCCATACGGTGATGTCTTGGCTGTCTGTGACAGTGACTCCTGGAGTACTTAGGACGTTGAAGGTCACGGTGCAGGTATAAACTCCACCATCACTCCCACTAGCTTGGGTGATCTTCAGAAAATAGTTGGGCTGTGTACTGCCTGCCAAGGGAAGCAAGAAAAACATTATCTAAAACATCAAGAGAGACAGTCATTCTCTGTGTAAAAAGCAGCAATTTGCTTGAAATGATGCTAATGAAAGGTCTTGCCTGGTCGGTCTAAAGGCCACATGGTCAAAGGCTACCTCAAAACCAATTCCCTAGGGAAATTCAATGCATTCGTACAAATTCTTTCACAGCCATCGTAATACTGTAAAAAAATGCCTCCACCCCTGTGGTGTTGCCAAAAAGTATATTTTCTACTGTTACAGAGACATAAATTGTACATACACACTATGATCACAAAAGCAGGAACTGTTTATCTTCTGAATCAGTTTTATAGGACACATAGATAAGTACTTCATCCATTACAGCAGTTAGCTGTACACAATTTGTCCTGTTGTTCTGCTATAAGGCCTAGGAAAGAAACATTGTGTTTCCTGACCGACCCGAGAAAAAAAATTCCGATCCTAGCCTCTTTTTTTTGTGTAGACCCCTGCAAGGGACGTAAATTTTGCAAGCTGATCGACCTTTTCTAGCTCCATGATCTGACACCTGAGTGATAAATCGTTGTACAATTGGTTTCCTAACATTGACATTGAAAATGAAAATTCAAGTTTTACTTTATTAAACTGTATTGTATAAGTTTGACCCCTATATATAGATATCACTGAAGTCTAAAAAGAAAAAGAAAAAAAAAAGATAATCCCTACCAGCCGATCCTAATTTTTTCAGGACTGAAACAGGAAACCCAACATTTTTTCCTAGGTCATAATAGTAGTATACATCGCACATACTCACTAATGGAGATCTTTTAAAACAAACAAATAAACTACTTACTGCCGTCGTCCGTCACAGCGACACCATCCCTTGTCCAGGTCACGCTGGCTATTGCCAGGTCACTGCCGGGATCGCTGACTTGACAGCCCAGCTCCAGGGTCCCAATCGCCGTCAGGTTTGTGTCAGCTGTCTGGTTGATGGCAACCTCTGAGGAAGCAAGATGGAGTTAGGCATGAAACACGTCTGTACCAAAACAGGTACAGTAAAGCACGTCGGCGGAACGTACTGCGCCTCTGTATCTGTATCTGTATCTGTATAGCCGGTATAACCGCCTTTTGGCGTAACACACCAGCTTCGCAGGCACGCGGCGCGGCGGCAGCTGGCTACATTACACCAATCGACTTGATACACCTAACCCTTGAACTTCTTACTCTAGACATTGTTTAAGGCTATCTAATGACAATGCCCCTACTGTACTTGGTGACAGTGAGTTCCACTCTTCGATAGTTATAGGAAAGAATGAATTCTTGATGAACACCTCAATCCTTGGTTGATAACTCTGGTACTTGAAGGCATGGCTATTTCTTGTTCTCTTCTGGGCTGCCTGCACAGAACACTGGATTTTCGTGGTTTCCATTGGATTTTTTGGTCAACGTTGCATCAGAACTTTGACAGCTGCAGACTATATCATTTCCAACATAACATTTGGAAACTACAGACGGGATGTTAACTTTATATATGCGACCTTACAGTTACATGAGATGTTCTGCCGAAGTGCTATGCACAATACATTACTGGTTTCACACAGGTGCAGTACATTCTGCCAACGTGCTGTACAGTAAACAATACCAGTAGCATAATCTAAGTGGGTATTGTAACATTAAAGCAGGGCTCAAAATACTGCGTGCATGTGCACCTTAGTGCACCCAAATTTGGAGCTGTACACCAATTTTTTTTCTGTGGGTTCACCAGTGCACTCATCAAATATTTTCATAGGTTTACATATGTAAAGATGTTAAATGAATAGTAGTATACAGCATATTCTAAACATCTGAGTGTTGAAAACAAATGAAGGGAAATAAAATCATTGTTGTAGCATTTTTCTTTAGTAATAAAACATGATTAGTTTTTCTGACATTCTACTAAAATGTTTTGTGCACCCAACTTTTGCACCTATTCCCCAAAATGAAATTCGAGCCCTGTTGAAGGCAATCTCAAGAGCAGAGGCAACATGATGATGAAAAGATTCACCAATTCGAGAGGGATCTCAAGAAAACGTACGCAAGGTCACACCAATCTAATTAATTGGTTCTCGGATTCTCCCGCTTCATTTTGTTCTGATTTGAAAAAAAAAAAAAAATTCAGGTTCTGAATCAACTGCAAGATGCTCCCGTTTTGACCCAAAAAGTGGAAGAAGGCTCCTTGTCTTCCTAGTTGTTACAGCTTTCCATATACATTGTATCAATGCATTGGTTTGAAATAAAGTTTAAAATACATCATTTGAATAAAAACCAGCCTCCATACATTGACATCATGGCTCCTATCGTGGGCCATCAGAGAATGCCTAGGTCTGTTTTTAGTTCCTTTTTTTCCTTCTTCCTGTCGCTTCATATTTTTCCAAAAAGATAACCCGAGAACCAACAAATCAAATTGGTGTGGCCCAAACATGCTTGTGAGGACTTACTTGCAAAAACTTTGAGATTAGCCTGTACAGACTCCCACTTGGTAGGCTCCAACACTGGGTTACTGCCGCGGGTCGGGTCGTTTGAGGCGTAGCATTTGTACGAGCCGGTGTCAGCAACTTGCAGGTCATCAATGCTGCAGGAACAGAAGGAAAGTTTCATACACATGTATCATCATCCACTCTAGGTGTAAAACTTGGCATTTGATAAAAATCAGTGTCAGACAAGCTACTAATACAGTTGCAGGGCTCGAAATACTGGGTACATGCACCTTAGTGCAGGAAAACTTGGAGCTGTGCAGGTATTTCTAGTAACCTGCACCTAACCTGCACTGGCCCACATACTGGGTTTATATATGAATTTAGCGGTATCCAGTCAGTTACCAGCTAGGAAGTATAAAAGAAACAATGGCAATGGTTTTTGAACAGGTTTTAGTAAGATCCATACTTCTCTTTAAGTGGTATCGGTAAAACCTGTCTGGTTCAGGTAATTTCAAATGTTACACACAAATGTACCTGCACCAGTGCAGATATGCAGAAAAACTATTCAGAGGCCTGAATTGGAAATAGACTGGACATACATGTAGTGTCACAGCTTTATGAAGATTGCAGTCATAATACCTGCAGCCAATATTGCCAAAAAAACGTACGTAAACTGCTAGTAAAATAGACTTACCTGAAGTTACTTTTCGCGCTTCCAGGAGTGTTGACCGTGGCAAAAGTGAAGCGGGCGTCAGTGGAGTCATCTATAACAACGGAGCCCCCGGATGTCTTCACCCACACGATGGCCACGTCATCGCCGCCACCAGTTTTCTGGGCCTCGCAGGTGAACTGCACGCTGTCATCCTCAAACGCGGTGGTGCCCTGTGGCTCTGTGGTGAACTCAACTTGAAAAACAAAAGGAAAAGGGGCAATCAGAAAAGGCAGACAGTGAGACTTTAACCCCTTACCCGTACTGCTTTGCAACCATCTACGTAGCAGTACTGTGCACTGTTCAATGAGACAATGGCAGTTCCGCCGTACTGCTATGAGGGTCCACATCACTTTCACATTCGCAAAACTGTGATGTCTTTGATGTAGTTCAAAACTTCATTTACTGTACTGGTAGATTCTCATAATTTACAGATCACCAACTTGTCTTGTTTATACTCATTTTTCTTTTTATGTAGAGGGCGTCACATAAGCAACTGTGCTTCTTGCCTAATACTTGAATGTGAATAACTAGATAGTACTGTGCACAGACAAAAATAGCAGCTCCGCGGATGTATGATAATGCAGTATAATGGGAATCCTTGAGACACATACATGCATAGACAAGCTGAATACACACAGATAAGCTAAATTATACTTCAATCCTTTCTGATTCACAGTCCTAGATACAACTTGTGATAGGGCCAATGACAATTATACATGTAGATAGAAAAAATGCTGTCAATATAGATATTTCATCACTGGTGTTACATTTCAATGACATGGAATTATCGTCAACATATAAAATATCATCAAATGTACCGATTTATATGTTGATTTTCCACAAATCTATTGTGGTATACAGCCAACTACTATTATCTGTGGAGTTACCTTATAAGTGTCAAACTATGCAGTACAAATTTGTCCTTTCCTTATTGTGCCAGATCTACATGTAGACATGGGTTGACAGATGGAGAGAGGCCTAGGCAAACTGTACCGTCCCAAGGACATTGAAAAACACAACTCCATTAATCACCCCTAACAATCAATCTAAATGGTCCACGAATGTGCCTAACCTTCACAAGATGGCAAACGATAGAGATGAACCATGGCGTTCGGAACATGCTTGAAGGTCCATTTTTTAATCTTAATGTCCATGATTTTTTTTAGAACGCGGACTGATTCTGTTCTGATACCATTTATTATGGAGGCCATTTTAAAACAGATACACTCAAATTATTACCTTCGCCATGAAGGTTATGTTTTCAGTAGCGTTTGTCTGTCTGTCTGTTTGTGAACAGCATAACTCAAGAAGCTTAATATGCATCGCCATGAAACTTGGTAGCAGGGCTCGAACTTAACGATGTCCCGATGTCCCCGGGCCACTAAAATTTCGGCCGGGACAACTGAAAAATCACTTTGGGACATTTTTGGGACACTGGAAAAATAACGAACATTCACAATCAGAATGTCAGCCGTTCATACGTTTGCCAGGCGCGCAACCCATTTTTGGGCCTCACCAAAAGCCGCCGAATTCGATATACACTCAGCTGAGCAGCGCGTGTGGCGCCCGTGTACGCATGTGGCCACTATTTTAATTTGTCGCCCCGCCCATCGCCTTTGATCTATTTGCAGCCCGCCGCCTTGGCGCCACTTTCCCACGCCAGTTCCCAGACATTCTATCCATGTAAACAACATTCAACCAATCACAGCTTCCATCCAATCAAGGCATCTGCCATATATGGCGAACTGTAACTGTTTAATGTTCGGATATTTCCGGAGATGCTCGGGAGATCAGCTGACAATGCCAAATATAGTGAACCGGCAAAGCTCGGGAATGTACGGTGTCTTTCGGTAAACTTCGCCTAGTTTCCCGCGAAATGACGAATGGAATGCCGAAAACAGCCGAAATCAGAAAATTTGAGAGTCATGGCCGGCATGGCACAGAGGAAAATTTCCTCTTTTTTCTCCTCGCCGAGAGCGGCCCCGGCGTCGAATGCAGTCAATGCTGTCGATCCTCAAAGACGTTCAGGATCATCTCAGTCTGACGGCGTGGTTTCAACAACTGAGAGTCAGCCTCCAGATCGTACGGCCGGTACGAAAGAGGGATGCGCCGACGGAAGGGGGGAGGGGGGCTTGATTCAGCCCGATTGCCGACCAGGGCCTTCAGACGCGGGAAACGCCAATGACAGTCCTACTGCTTCTAGTCATGAAGGGGACTCGTCCGACTCTGACATGTCTGATGAGTCTGAATCAGAAACCCTCACGGACAAGCGGCCTTCGAAGAAGTCTTCGGTAATTTAATTTTTTTTCCACTCCAATATTAATGACAAGTAACGTTAAATATTGTCAAGTAAATGTTTTTCTTAACTTAACTTAAGGAAATTACCATACTAGTCACAGTCTATACATTTTCATAGATTTAGTACCTACAATATAAGGCCTTGTTCTTTGACATTCAATCTAATTTCAAT